TTATTAAATAATTCCTTAATTATCTTTTAAAAAGTAAAATTAATAAGTTATTAAGCAAGGTATTAATTTTATTTAATATTAATAATTTTATATATATAAATGCCTTTTATAAAAATATTATAAAGAATAATTTTAATAAATTAACCTTTATTAAAAATGCTTTTTAACTTAAAGGAAATGTAAATACCTTTAATTAAAACTTGCTTAACTTATAAGTTATAATAAATAGCTTAAAAGAAAAAAGGAAATTTTTTTATATTAAACTTTTTAATTTTAATTAAAAAGGGTTTAATAATAAAAATATTATTATAAAAAGATATTTAAAGATAAAAAAATTATGATATTTTGCTTTAATTTTAACTTAATTTAAAGGCTAATTAAAGTTAAAAGGATATTAAAAAAAAGAAGAGGGAAAAAAGAATTTAAGGGAAGAAAGAAAATTTATATATAAAGTTATTATAATAAAAAAAGGTAAGCAATGCTAATAATAAGCTATTTTATTATTAAAAAGAATAATTTACTACTTTATTTTTAATTAAGATTAGTTTATTATTTAAAAGGAATTACTTATCTTTAATTCCTTGCTTATAAAAAAGTTATTTATCTTTTTATTATAAAAGAATTTTAATTAAGTAATTTATTTTAGCTTATGCTTAATAAATTTATAAATTAAAAAGGGAGTATTTTATAATTAATTATTATTTAAGAAAAATAAGAAATTATATATTCCTTTTACTTTAATTATTAATAAAATAATAAATTAATAGCTTTTAATAATAACTTATAAGCTTTCTTATTACTTTTTTTTTAATTAATATAATTATTTAACTTAAAGGTAATAAGTTATTAGTTTTTATTACTTTAAGCCTATATATATTATTATACCTATTTATTTATAATTAAGCCTTTTTTTTTACCTTTCTCTCTTTTTTTCTTTTTCTTACCTTTATATAATTATTAATTAAATATTAAAAATTAATTATTACTTAATTATTTTAATAAAAGTATATTTTTAATATATTAATCTTTTCCCTTACTTAATTTTTATTTAAGAATAAGTAATAATTATTTATAAAAGCTATTTTAAGTTATAATTAAATATTAATTATATTTCTTCCTTATTTTTAATTCTCTTTACCTTAATTATTTATATAATAATTCCTAAAAATATAAAGCTTTTTTTATTATTATATCTTTCCTTTTTATTACTTAACTTTTATTATTTACTTTTTACTTTATTATTTATTTTCTTTACTTTCTTTTTTTATAATTAAAAGCTAAAATATTTTTTAATTAAAAAAGTAAAGTAAAAAAGCAATCTTAATTGCCCTTGCATTATAAGGTATTTTAAGACCTTAATATCTTAATTTTAATAATTAAACTTATTATTTTTAAAGAAAATAATCTTACATTAATAATTATAAAACTTCCTTACTTTAATAATTTTAAAAACTTACTTAGCAAAGTATTGCAATTCCTAAATATTATAAATATATAAAATTAATAAAACTTTACTTAAAAAGTAAGTATTAATTTCTTTAAAGATTCTTTTAAAATAAGAATTATTATAAATAGGGTTTATTTAAATAATATTTAATAAATTTAAATCCTTAATTATTTATTATTTTTTAATATAAAATAAATAATATTTAATAATAAGCTTATAAAGATAATATAAAAATATTTTTTAAGTATTAATCTTTATCTTAAGTTAAAAAAACTAGCTAAGTTAATAAATTTATTATTATGCTTATTTATATATTTAATTATTAAATAGTAATAATTTTTAATAAAATGGAAAATTATTGCTTATTATAAAATAATCTCACATTAAGAAATAAGAATAATAAGATAAATAAGAATGTTAAAGCACTTATTTATAAATATTTAATAATTGCCTTAAAAAATAAAATGTAAAATTTTAGCAAGGAGTTTATATTAAAATTAAGATAAATTAATAAAGTATTTTATAAGTAATATATTATTAAGTTTATTAAAAACTACTTTAGGGAGAATTAAAGAAAGAATAATTAAGAAGTATAAAATTAGGCTAAAGCTATTTTAATTAAAATTATATACCTTAAGATATTTAAAGCTATTTAATTAAAGCTTAATAAAATTAATAAAGCCATTTAAACGCCTATATTAATTCCTCTTATTAGGATTAATAATATAAAAGTAATTAAAGCAAGAAATAAACTTTTATTATAAAGAGAAATTATTTAATAATAGCTATTTAAATTATAATATACTAAGATTACTATTAATTAAAAAAAGGTATAAAGGAAATAATACCTTTAATGTAAATTAATTTAATAACCTAATTTTAAATATTTAATATATAGCAAAGCATAAACTTTTATATAACTTAAAATTAACTAAGTAAAACTTTAATTAAATAAGCCTTTAGCTTAAACATTACATTATAAGATATTTTAAAGTTAGCAAGAAATACTTACCTTAGTATCTATAAGGATCTTTTTTATTTATTTATCTTAATAATGAATATAAATAATATTTAAAGTGCATTAGCTAACCTTAAGTAATTAAAATAATAATTAAGTTTGCTTAAAAATAATTTAAAAGGCTTATAAGTAAGCTAGCTAAGTAATTAAATATAAAGCATAAAACTTAAAAATAAAAGCTTTATAAGAAATAAAAGTAAAAGTTAATAAAGCTAATATATTATATTTAATGCAATAATTAAAAAAAAGAATAAATTTATTTTTTATTTTATAAAGATATTTAAATTTTTAATAATTATATTAATGCTAATTATTAAATTAAACTTTAATAATTAAGAAAATATAATTAATAAATATATTATTAAGTAAGTTTTAAAAATATTTAAAGCTTTTATAAAGGAATAAAAGTTATAATAAAATAAATAAGTAAGAAATTAAAGATAATAATAATAATTAAAATTATAATAAAGTGGATTTTAAAACTTAAAGGCTTAATTAAAAGTAGCAAGGTTTTATTTTAGCGATTTTTATAATATTTATTATAAAGTACTTAAAAAAAAGTATATTAATAAATATAAGGAAATATATAAAAAATAATATTGCGTTAAATTTTAGCTAGCTATAAAAAGCTAGCTTTTATGCTTATTTTAAATATTCTTAAAGAAATTAACTCTTTTCTTTTCTTATATATTTAATACTTTAATTAAGCTTTTCTTATTTTTAAGAATTTTTAAAATACTTGCTTTTTCCTTTCTTTAGCTTCCTTTTATTCCTATCTTTCCTCTTTATTACGTTAAAGCTCCTCCTTAAGTTGCTTTTAAAAGGGTTTAATAAAACCTATTCCTTATTTATTTAAGTAGCTTGTTTTTAATATATTAATTAACTTATTATTATTAATAATTTATTTAACTTTATAAATCTTTTTTTATTTTAATAATTATTTAAAAGTTATTATATTAATTATTAATTTTTTTTTTCTTTTTTTTATTTAATAAAATATTTATAAAGAAAATATAAGTTTATATAAATAATAAATAATATATTTAATATTTTTAATTAATTAATAATTTATTAAAAATTAATTATTAAAATAATTTTTATATTAAAATTATTTATTATATTATAAGTTTTAAATATTATAATATTATAAATAACTTTATTATATTTAATTAAAAATTAATAAATAATATTATTATTATAAAAAAATATATATATATATATATATATATATATATAAATATAATATATTTATATAATAAATAAATATATATATATATATAATATAAATTTAAAAATATATAATTTAAATTAATTTTATTAAAAATAATATTAACCGGCGTTAATTAATTATTAATTAATAATTATATATATTATTATTTATAAATTATTTAAGCTAGCTTATAATTAAATAATTATAAGTTATAACTTTATTATAACTTATATTTTAATATTATAATTAAATTAATTATATAAAAGCTAAATTAATAATTATAAAACTTTTATTTAATAATAATATTCTTTATTAATTAAAATAATAAATAATTTAATTTATAAGTTAAAATTATAATTATTAATAAAGAAATTATTAATAAAAATTATAAGCTTAATTATAATTATATTTAAAGGGATATATTAAAGGCTTTATTATAATAATTAACTTATTATTAAAAATATTTATTAAGTTTTATATAAATAAATTTATTAAAAATTTAAATTTAAGTTATAATAAATAAATTAAATGCCGCTTTTAATTAATAAATAAATGTTAAATATATTAAAATAGCTTTATATATATATAAATATAACATAGTTAAGTAATAAAATAAAGTTTAAATTTTACACTTAATTTTACATTTTTCCCTCCTTTAAGGAAAAGGAAAAAAAAGTAATAATTAATTATTATAAAAACCTTAATTTTATTAAATTAAGTATATAAGTAATGTTAATAATAAGGTTAATAAGGATTAAGGTGCATATTTTGCGTTGCTAGCCAAATTTTGGTGTGGGAGGGGAGAGCTAACCTAATCAACAGGGGGGGTAAAACAGCTTGTTTTCCACACATAGTGGACACATGTTGGACACGGTCCTCGTTCAGCTCATCATGGAGATGGCTGGCTCGGCTCAAGCAGAAGTACCACTGTCACCCTTACACGGCGCCATCTCCCAGGTGAAGTTGCCTTTAGCAACGTCCTGGTAGTTACAAGGAACATAGCTGTTTTTAAAGTTATGTCCGAAATGTCACAATCACGATACCAGCCGAAGCGTGCCACTAAGCATGCATGCCAAGGCGAGCGCAGGGGGCCCTGTCAGCGATAAGTGACCGATAACCTTAATTATTTTCAGCCGACCCGGTCGCCGAAACAGGCGCGTCATTTTCCACAAGGTGACCCAGTCTGGCCTGACGGGACTCATGTAAGATCATATGACAATTTTCAAAGGTTTGCTTCCATCCCCTCGAACCTTTTTCTTTTCTTTTGAGACACGAACAACTTCCAGGTTGCCCTTCTTCACATCCGCGCCACACTGCCTGCCAATATGGCTCCCATCCAAATCACCATAATCACGGGCTTCCTCGGCTCAGGCAAGACAACGCTCATCCTCAACCTTATCCCCCAACTAAAAGCCGCCAACCCGGACTACAAGCTCGCCCTTCTCAAAAATGAATTCGGTGACCTCGCCATCGACTCACAGCTCGCATCGTCAAATGCCATATCCGGCGTGCGGGAAATGCTCAACGGCTGCATATGCTGCAACCTCGTCGGCCAGCTCAGCGAGGCCCTGAAGGAGCTGCAGGCCCAGGTGACACCGGACAGGATTATCATAGAGACCTCCGGCTCAGCATTCCCTGCCACCCTTGCCATGGAGATCAACCGTCTGGCCCGCCAGACAGGGCAATATTCCCTGGATGGTGTTGTGAGCGTGATCGATGTGGAGAATTGGAAGGGGTACGAAGACACGAGCGTCACGGCCAGACTGCAGGCCAAGTATACCGATTTAATCGTGTTCAACAAGTATGTAACGGCCGTTTCTTCTTACTTAGGCAAAGTACCCTGGCCAGGGCTGACGAAGAGTGCAGGTGGGAGAACTGTGATGAGCGCAGATTCGACGAATGCTTGGATCGCGTCGGCGATTTGGAGGTTGAGACAGCGTGGGTGAAGAGCAACAAGGGTCAGGTGCCCATGAACCTCATATTTGGTATCGATGGGGGGCTAGCTCAGTCCATAACGGACGAGCCGAGCGGCCACGGCCATAGCCACGACCATGACCACGCTCACGACGACAACCACCAATCTGAGGTCGAGGTGCTGTCAGTCGAACTCACCGGCCCCAAGGGCTCCAGCGTCAACGCAGCAGCACTTCAGAAACTGCTCAAGGCGGCACCGAAGGACGAGGTCTACCGGATCAAGGCCGTCCTGTCGTCCACCTCTGCGCTCAGGGGCTCCGATGAAGATCAGGCGACCCCGACGCCGCCGTACCCAGAGTGCAGGTACATACTAAACTGGGCTTTTGGACGGTGGACCTTCACACCTGTGCCTGAAACAGTCGACGAGCACGAGTCGAGTGACCAGAAGACCCTTCGCATGACCATGATCCTCGCACGGTACGAGAGCGCGAAATGGAAGAAGAAGCTTGAGGGCGGGGGCCTTCTCGAGCTGGAGGGTGATGGTGGCCCGGGGCAACTGGCTGTTACAAAGGTCGCATAAGACAATAGAAGTGCATCAGCGGCACAGAATCTCGACATGAGAGTATAGAGAGATACACCACATACACAGAGACCCGTTACATAGATAGTACGGGTCATCTGCCCTGATATGGGCCAGCTGGCACCAAAGCCTGGGGGAAAGACACAAGCACTTGGTTTTTCACGTTTGTCAAGCACAATTTGAGCAGAGTTTGGCGAAGCATTTCTCAGGGCATCTGGAAAACATGGAGTCATTTGCAAAGAAATAAGAGCCCCTACAATATTACAAATATAAGTCTAAAGATCCAGGCGTTTCCAAGCCATGAACTCCTTTTGAAAAACAAGTCCACCAATCTACTCCTCAGATGGCTCACTGTCTCAGTAACATACGATAGAGCCAGATACAAGGGCAAACATTCCCGAAACGAGAAGCATGGTGCTCTTCCAGGTTGGTGCACCGGCAGTCGCGTACGGGGAGCTCGCGCCATCAGTCCCGGCGTTTGACTGAGGCGTAACAAACGTTGGAGACGACCCACCCGCCTCGCCGCCGCCAGGCGCCGGTGCTGCACCTGGCCCAGAACCGGACCCGGAGTCCGGCGCCGGGGATGACCCTGAGCCAGAGTCGGGCGAGGATCCAGGTGCAGCATTGCCATTGTTGCTGTTGGGAGCTGGCATTGGGGCACCAGCCGGAGAATGACCTCCCGCGCCCATGTCCATGGTGGGACTGCTGCCCGGGGCCGACCCTGGAGCTGGAGCTGGAGCTGGAGCTGGAGCTGGAGCTGGAGAACCGGACCCTGGGCCACTTCCTGCTCCGTCCGCCCCAGGACCCACTGCCTGCCCCGGGACCACTGTCCATGCCAGGCATTGAGCCAGGACCCGAATCTGAGCCGGGCCCTGGGCCCATTCCGGAGCCAGGAGCATCAGTCGCTTGGGCCGGGACCGAAGCTGGCGTGGCAGTGACGCCGTTTCCGTAGATGGTGACGTCGCCGGTCTGGGCCGCCTCCTCAACAGGGCAGGTGATGGTCTGGGTCTGCTGCTCGCACACGCCGCAGGTGACGACCGTCTTGATGAAGTTGGGCGGGATGGCCGGCTGGGTCCAAACGTCCGGGTCGCCCGTGCAGACCTCCTCGATGGTGTAGATTGCGGGCCACTCCGCTGTCGGGCAGGCGGCCCAGGCCGCGTACTCCCATGTCTTGGTGAAGGTCACGGTGGCCGTGACTGTGGCCGTGACTGGCGGGAGCGTGGGCTCGTCCGGGCAGTACAGCAACGCGCTCGAGGTGAGTTGACCGAGACTAGGGGCGACGGGCATTAGTTTGTGTCTTTTCTCAAGATGTGCCACCATAGACGACTCACGACATGATGTCCGTGTGGTTCGTGCGAAGGCACAGGTGAGCAAGAGGGGAGACAGCTGTTTGCTTGTTGCGGCCCAAGAGAGCGAATCCGGGTCAGAAGGGCACAGCGACTGGGGATATGGTGAGTCCTGCGTTCATTGAAATAAATGAGAGACTGCTGCAGCGAGCGACCGATGGGCTGGGATGACGAGCGAGAGCCGCCCGCAAACAGCAGTCCCATGGCGGCCTCTATATAGCACAGGGCTCGACTTGTCACGTTCGCGGCGAACAGTCAACATTCGGGACATGCGCCATGAAGACGGGGTCGGAGATGATCCAAGCCACGCGACGCGGCTGGAGGAATGAAAGCACATGAGGACGCATTCCCAATCCCGGCCGCGGAACTGCAGCCGCGATCGTAGCTGGAGAGACGGCAGGCAGATGGGCTCCATGTTTGGCGTGAGTCGACCGAAGAGACTGCTCATCAGCTGGAACTCGTCGTAGGATTTTGCGTTCTTGGACTCTGGCCCGCATCGACTTGAGCCTGTGCAGGTCAGCGGTTGGGCATTTCAGGCGGACTGGACTTCGATCTGTATCCATTCAGCACAGGGCCTCAACACGGTTCCATTGGCGATGGTCTGTCGCTGTGCCTATACGTGCAGCATAGATATGCATTCGGATCACCAGACCACGCATGCTGCCATGGTGCAATACATCACGGGGCTGCGCCCGCCAGGAGGCATTGGGGCTGAGACACGCTGCGGACAGGACAACTGGCACGCCTGCGGCGTCACAACAGTCATCTCCTGAAATTCTTAGGTGCGTGTTTGGTAATCTCAGGAGACACACAAAATACGAAGCGCACCTGAGCTTCCTTCTACATTGCTTGCGCTCTACGATGAAATGTATCCCGTCATTGGCATCTTACTACCCATGGAGTAGCAGGGTGAAAGACTTCCTAATCGAGGAGCGTTAGTCTCCGAAGTATTCTCCGTAGAGAAAAAAGGCAACACGCCGCTGTAGGGAGCGAGGCGACGGTCGTGGCATCTTCGTGTATACTTTTTGATCTGAAGAAGAAAGGAAGAGAAAGTCAATGAAATTTTCGTCGGCTGGCGATGTTAATGTAGTCGAGCCGCAAAATTCGTAGGGGTGTCTGATTGGCCCAAGCTGCGAATTGTGGGGCGCTTACATGAACCCCACCTTGGACAACGGCTCTACTACTACCTTTACCCATTGCCTGCCGGACATCAAGCTCACCTGCGACACCACACCTCCGCCGCTGACAACGACACTCTTCAATACCGACAGCACCAGGAGTCGCACACTGCTTTGGCCACCGTCCAGACACAGGCTGACTCCACGTCAGACGATCTAAGGTTCGGTAGATACTAGAGAAGCGAGCAGGCGAGGCCACCGGCGTTATCAGATCGGCAATGCCATCCGAGGAGTACAAGTCGGCAGGCGGCGGTGCGCTGCGCATCAAGGGCGCCAAGGTCAAGAAGCACAAGAAGAAGAAGGACAAGACTGCTCTGGAGAAGATCCTTACCGAGCCGAAGAAAGAAGAGTCCGAGGACAAGGAAGAAGCCGGAGAAGTCGAAGAAGCCGAAAGAGACGAGCCACCCAGGAGCAACAAGACGGAAGCTGAGCGGCGGTTCGAGGAGGCACGCAGGAAGAGGCTGCTAGAGAAGGCGGAAACATCCAGGCCTGAGCTCCTCAAGACCCACAAGGAGCGCGTGGAAGAGCTCAACACCTACCTGTCGAAACTATCCGAGCACCACGACATGCCCAAGATCGGCCCCGGCTAAGGACGGGAAGTCAAGACGCCAAACATTGTGGGAGTGGAAGTTGGCAATGTTTGTTCCCAGCGCATTTGTCTTTGAAGGGCCTCCATTGATCCCCGGCCACCTCCGAACATCACATCACTACTACCGAGATGACCCATTAGGCTTCTGCCCGTGGCAACCCCTGAGATGCAAGACGTATTTTTCATGGCATTTTTGAGATCGTTCCTCCAGCCGTGTCACCACGTTCCGTTCTGTTCCCAAGGCTTTTGGAGAAGCCCTCCTGGCTTTCCTTTCCTGATACTCTCTGGTTTTTGAAGGACTGGCACAGCAGACAATATATGGAGAGCCAATATAATATAGAGGCGAGCAACGACTCCTGTTACAAGAACGGTGCTGCTAGACGCCAATCCTTGTTGGACAGAAGCCTATCGGCGAGGAATCATATACCGCACAGACGCAGGCTATGGAAGTCCGTACATACGCGGATCTGCCACAACTGGGATAGGCGATCGACGATAAAGCCTTTGTGAGGCTTCGAAAGATGAAAGTTCATATGCACTACTAGAGATACCCATCATTACTACATTTCAACCACCTGGTACCCTTGCTTCGATGCCTTCCGCTAGAAACAAGCAGATGAGATGCACCACCCGCAGCGTTGCAGAAGGGGCCTTTTTTTTTTCTTTCTTTTTTTTTAAGATCCCTTCTTGTTGTAATATTTGGATGCTACAACATTACAGTCAGCGAATAATTGTCAATGGTGTAGTGCTGCGTCAAAACTCACCGACAATAGACACGTTGAATCCGCCACGAGGCCAGCCAAAGCTGGTCTCGATGGCCGACACGGTGATGTTGGTGTTCCACAAGGTGCACATGATCTCGACGGTCGAGGGGGGGTTGTAGCAAGGGGAGGTGGGAATCCAGCTCGGCTCCAGGGTCGGTGAGCGCTGGAAGACTGGAGAGGGAAGCTACGCGTCAGCAACATCCTGCGAGGTCGCTTTACAGCCGTGGTCATCACGAGGGCTGGGATCTCATTACATACACATGTTGAAGGACCGACACGCCGAAGTCGAGTTGCAAAGGGCCGAGCAGTTGGATGGGTCGTAACTCTGAAGGTTACGCCAGCCTAAATAGTTCGTATTGGGCACTGTTGATATCACCCGGCGTCAGCTGCGGGACTCGGTAAAAGGGAGGCTTGAGGCTCTGTCTGTCCAGACACCAGCTCCTGGACGGGTCGCGGCCCGAGGTTCACGAGAACTCGGTGGACTTGATATGGGCAGCACTCCAGGTGCCGTAGATTCCGAACGGGGCATTTCCATTATTATCGAACACCGAGTAGCCGGCCGGGACGGGAGCATTGCTCGCGGTGGCCCCATAGACGAAGTTCGCGTGGAGTGCGTCCACCGTGTCTGGCCTGAGGGAGAAAAAGACCGTGAGCATCATCCCTGCCCTGCCACAGATGAAGAGGACCAGAGGCGGAAAGGGGGATTTACGAGGTAGGAGGCCCGTAGCCGGAGACCTGGGGGTCACAAGGCGCCGCCAGGGCGGAGTGCGGAGCGGCGAGGATGAGACCCAGGGCGATGAGGAGAGGTACAATCCCAACGCCGAGGAAGACTACGGCGGAGCCGTTATTCTGCCGGAAGAGGCGCGAGATAGCCATGCTGAAGAGTAGTAGTGATGTGTTCTAGACTTGTGTGGTGATCGAGAGGGCTAAAGCTTCCTTCACGTTTCTCCAAGACTTGAGCGAAGAAGGAGAGAAGAGAAGAGACCGAGGGGCGATGCTTGGAATAGAGACGGGGTGTCATATGTATTTCTCAACACTCAACAATAAAAACCCTGGTCTACTCTCACCCTCATCTTGATTTCCCTGCGTTTACCACATGCAGGCATCGTCGAGGCAGCTGATTGGAGCCAGTCTCCAGCTTGAACAGCTCGATAGAGATGACCATGCTCATCCCCTTTCTGGTTGACTTTCCCAGGTAGGGGAAAGCTCCTAGAATCATGGGCGTAACAGCGATGAAGATGGCATAGCTTTTGGATGTGGTGCATAGCAACAAATGTCAACGAGGCAGCTGGGAATATAATCATAGCAAAATGACTAGCGGTTAACTCCTGGCACGCTACCACGGTAGTCAAGGTCCCGGATATACACTTGACAGGTCGGTCTCAGGTCGAGCTACACATGGCGTGGGCCGGCCTTGTGCCGTAGCTAGGCAATATGTACATCACGTTGACAATTTCGGCGGGATGAATGAAGCATTCACAGAGTGAGGCGGGGAAAAGAGAACTCCATTGAGGAGCCAGGGCACGAGTCATCGCGGCCGCCGGCCTCACTTCGCCTCATGGTAATCATCAATGCACGGTGAGTGCTCTGATTCCATTCAATGACGCGTTGAGGGTGGTGCTTGTGCGGATTGCGTTTGCTGTGTAGGCGAGCTCGCTGCCGACGAGCTCGTTGGTGGCTCTAGCCAGTACCCGGCCACGGCTGTGCCCAAGCCCTGGAGCAATCCGAGGGATCAGGAAGCAGGTACCAGTGATGATTGGGGACGTTGAAGGACATTTCAAGATTCTGAAAGGTTATCCTCCACGAACTCGTAGTCTCGGACCGAGTGCTTTGCGGCTCTCTCCAACGGCTGGGCAGCTGGTCTGTATAGTGAGGAGATCCCATCGCGAAGAAAATGCAACGAAACTCGCATGCGTCCGTGGCAACAACTCCGCTCGTAGTCTTGGGGCTGGATCACTGACTCACCAGCATGTAGGTGTTAGCCGGTATTATCACTACCATGCTAGCCTAAGGAGCCCCATCCATGAACGAACGGGCGCCCAGAATATTAATGACAACGTAAAGCGAAGCGAGAAACTATGGCGTAGATTCCCGACACATGTGTCACATGTCTGGGCCTTTCGGCCCCCCATGGTAGTTATTCTTTTCTCTTTCCTCCTATGCAAGTCGTGATCCGCGCGTACCCTTTTTGTTGCCCTCGCGGTGGCTCTAATGTTCAACGCAGATTTGCCCAAAACCAAAGATGAAGGAGTGGTCCGATACTGTTGCGCCGTATCCCGCTGTGCCCCGATGACGCTATGCATATGCTGTGCAAGCTGCTGAATGACAATGCTTGCGAAAAGGAACTTCGATGATGAAAACAAACGGCCTCCTCATCCCTTGGTCAACCTCTGGTGCTCCGAAAAATGTTGCCACCCCCCCCCCAAAAGGACCAAGGCTGTGCCCTCCTTAGCGGCCAATATTATCCTGATTACAACACCTCAAGGAGAGTGCGTGAGATCATCTCATAAGATACCACCCCAGCACAGCCCGTTCTTTCAAGAGATTAAGTTTACTGCCATAAAAAGAACCAGAGTCCTGCAAACAGTGTGGCGGCACCCGGGAGGGATGGTCCTGCAATCGGAGCGGCATTGGTCTGCAGGCTCGCGGCCGGCCGAGTCGTTGAGCCATCCGTCGGCTCTGCATCGACGTAAGAGAATGAGGTTTGTGTGACGACTGAGATGCCCCCATCTGGCATAGTTGATGTGAATGTGGTGGTCACTTTCTTCGACGACACCGGGGTCCTGGTCTTGCTTGTGGATGAGGCCACAGTCGGGGTCGCCTTGGATGTGTCCAGGGTAGTGCCTCTCGATGTTGCTTGGGCTGCAGAGCATGTCAGCAAAGTCTTCCAAAGATTCGGAGACGCAAGCCCTTGGCTCCTGCTCCAACGTTCTACGGTATAAAGAGCGTATATCATATGAGGCAAAGGAGACAACACTGAAGCCTGAAGGCTGTTTCCAGGCACAAGTATTATGACATGTAACACAAATCATGTTGACATACCAGGTGAGGTGACAGTCAACGTTGTGCTGGAGACACTAGGGGATTCCCCAGCACTGGAGGAGGAGGAGGAGGAGGAGGAGGAGGAGGAGGAGGAGGACGGGGTTGCAGATGACGACTCAGGGGTAGCAGATAAAGATGGAGAAGAGGCAGACTGACTTGCACCAGTGACAGTCGTGGTTGACGAGTCAACGGATACGCTCCTCTGTTCAGAAGAGGACGAAGACGAAGACGACGGCGCTGGGGCAGAGGCAACCGGGGCAGAGGTAGAAGGAGTAATGACTTCGGACGTACCAGAAGAAGCAGCAGGTCTGAGGGAGTAGGAGTCTGAGGAGCTGTGACGGTCTCGGTGGCCGGGTCTTGGGTCTGCACGCTCGTCTGCACCACGGTCTGAGTCTGAACGCTCGTTTGAACGCTCTCAGACGTCGGGGTGGTGGCGGCGGTGGTTGTCGGGTTGGTCGGAGTCTGTACAGTGGTGGTGGCCACTGTAGAGGCAGACGAAAGCGTTGTCACCGCAGTGGTGACGGCGGTCGAGACGGTTGCGTTGCTGTCCTGGCGTTTCGCGATCTGGGAATCTTGCTGGCGGTACCTCTCAGGCACATATTTCTCCAAGAGCTCACGAAGAGACTCAGCCGAGTTGGAGGCCAGCAAAGACGACAGCGAGGAGTGCTCAACGTTGGCAACGGCACTGTCAACGTTCGAAGCATCCTCGTGACAGTCGGCCCGGCCCTGGTGGGCTGAAGCCAAGCCCAGGGCGACCATGCAGCACACCAACAGTGCCAGCAAGAGTTTCCGTCCAGAATCCATGGTTCGTTGTCGTCGGTCGGTGTCCGGTACAGCTTGGTGGTTTCTCTCCCTCAGGTTGTGCTTCTCCTGGATTTCCTGGGCCAATCCTGCTCCAAAAGCCTCGACATCGTTTGGTTTTGACGGAGCCATGTCGGCTGGGGAGGAGGGGGCTGAAGAAGGAGGAGGATAATGGGGCGGGTGCTGCAGACAAGACGACCTACGCCACCGGGATGTGCAGTTGGAGACGCCGGGCGGAAGACAAGTGCCGCAGAAGTGGAACCGCCACAGGCGAGGAGAGCCTCAAAAAAAAAAAAAAGCGGACGATCAGCGAGCGGCTTATCTTGGTGTCTCAACGTGCATATTGGGGCCAGTGGACATGCGGTTGCAGTCGTGTTGTGCGAATAATGATGTCGAAAGGTGGGCTTGCACGCCAGGAATAACGAGCGCGGGCTGCGTGTGCTTGTGCTTGGTAGGGATGCTGGTGTGGGTACAGGAACAGGAATTGGAAAAACCGGAGACTCTTGCAGGCCTGTCAAGTTCCAAGGTGGACCCAGCTAAGCTCCAGGATGGTGGATAAGCGTTGCGCTGGCACTGCCCAGGAGAACCCAGGTGTGCAGGTGTGCAGTGCAGTAGTTCGGCGGAGGCGATCGAAGAAGAGCGACGGACAGGTTCCTGGATGGGACGCTGGAAAGCTGGGACTGGACGAGGAGATCAGGGTGAGGTCCGTGGCGACGAGGATTGACCCTCACTGGATCCAAGGGCAGCAGCCAGATGGGACTCTACTGCAGGTCTGGGCCTGAGTCTGGATCCGGGTCCGAGAAGGAGATGTCAGTGTTAAGCCTGTCGATGATGGGGTCTTTTCGTTGGCGGAGACGAAGCAGATCAGCACAGTGCGGTGTGGTGAGTTGGCAGCGAGTGAATGCGAAAACCAGAGAGTGTGCTTATTCTCGTCAGAGTGAGAGCTCAAGCCGTGGGATCTCTACGTATTGCTGGCCCGACCGTGAGTGAGAGAAGCGGTATGCGAGGGGATGTTGGCGCATACAAGAATTATTAGGAAGAGGCCTCATCAATCGGCAAAGCGTCTTCCTCCAGCCACCTAGCAGCTGCAGACCAGGCTTGGGGCTGACGTAAAAGGCGAGCGAGTGAAGTGAGCGAAAATGGTGAGTAGTACGGCACGGCAACGGGTACGGAGTGACTGTGCGTGAGGCCAAGCAAGGGTGAGAGTGGGAGGAGGAGGAGGAGGAGGAGGAGGAGGAGGAGCAAGAGAGGCTGATGCAAGCCGTGCTGATCACTCCGAATGGACCGGATGGAAGCTGGTGTCAGGGATCAGACTACCTAGACTATCGTGACAATCCTACCCGAGACAGGGTTGCAAGGTCGACCCGGCTTGCTGTCCTTTTGTCTTGCCCGTCTCGCTACGCAGTACCAGATACGTCAGGACTATCTATACCACAGTACGACTGTACAGCTCAGAAATGATTAACATACCATCCCAACAGTCCCGGCGTACAGCATTCAGTAGCATCGAACAAGCTCCGGCGGAGGCCCAGCCACACCGAGACAGCTTCACATGGAATGGAGATCTCCACCAGGAAGGTGTCTTACAGCCAGTGCTGTGCACAGGATGCAAGCTCAAGCTCCTGCAGGCGGCTGCAGCAGGCGAACCTGCAGAGCAAAAACCTTGCTGGACTGTTGTCGCGCTTCTGGGACGAACAGACGAACCGACAGACCTGACAGGAACAGAAGAACACCCCCCTGCGCCCAGCTGGCCCACCACGCCAGACCCGCCTGGGGTGAACCCAAGAGGGCTCGCCGGTCTGTGCCAACCCAGCCTCCCACCTGGGCATCTCCTGGGCACCTCCTGGGCACCTCCTGGGCATTTGTCTGCTCGTCGTCCCTGCTTTTCTTGCGACCTTCCAAGACAGGGAGGCAGGGGGAGCTGTCACACCCGGAGGTGCTGTACTGCATTGAATTTATTGTGGTACTACCACCCACAGGCGGTAGGCAGTAGGTGCTGTGTACTCCCTAGGTATAGGCAATGCGAAAGGCCATCACGTCGTCTCGTCAATGCTTTCGTATCGGTCCCAACACGGTGACGTATGAGCCACACATCTTTCGACTTGCCCTGCAGGCACCACACATTGCCCGTCGTATAGCAACGCACATCGCATCGCAAAAGCCTCGGGGTGCTGACGAATTGGCCGGTGGGCCATGGCAAGATACAGTAAGCTGCAGAGTTTGTTTGTGTGTGCGTTTGGCTAGCACGTCGTCGGCCGTTTCAGCGCCTCCCCCAGAGTCGCCAGAGTGTGGCTCGTATTCACCTGGCGGATCAACAAGCAAGGCCCGTCCGGATAGGCACTGGGTTTGGCAAGCTCACGCTTCTGCACGGCCTAATGTGGGCTCCAGCACGGGGGGCCGGGTAGCGTCCACAACCAAAACAGCCCGAGCAACCCAACAACAAGCCCACCCTGTCGAACCAGTCCAAGACTCCTCTCTCAACCATCGTATGGAGATTTCTTCTTCCCCGTGACATGTGAGATGGACGTGTCCCTCACCTCACCTGCACGGCACCGGCGGACCTGACGGCGACCGGAGTGCATACCTGTGTACTACACCACAATACCGGCACCCGAGCCCCAATTCCGCCCACCGGGAGACACAATACCACCGTCACGGCCACGGCGAGGTGAAGGACCTGAGACCCTCCTTCCTCCGCGAGCTGATCGCCCACGCCGTCCCCATTGGTCTTGGCCAATGGTGCCAATGGTGCCAATGGTGCCAATGGTGAAGCTTCTGGCTGGGGCCACGATTCGTGAATAGTTTAGTTTCGGCTCTGTCCGTGGCAGCTCCACTTGAGAGCTTGCGCACCGCGTCGGCGAGTCGGAAACGTCACTGGCTCTGAGCCTCAATCGCAAGCACCCCTGGTTCCTGGCTCGTATTTCACCTTAGCCCGGGATCAATGGCCCCTCTCGACCCAGAGCGGTGGGAACACAGCTACACCACAGCGCACAGTACACTCGCCAGCGACCAAAGACTACGGGTTGCGTGGACTATCTCTTAGTACCGGTACAACCGCACACCGTTTCTTTGTTGACAGGCGCGCGGCTCTTGTGGCAACGCATGGTCTGACTGTACGTACAAGTATGATGGCGGCTCCATTGTTTACGAGGCGCTCAGAATTGCATCATGTGCATCTAAACTCTGTGGCACCAGAATCTCCATGCACGGCCAGAGGTCTACGCTGCAGTCAGCTGGGGCCCAGGCAGAAAGCAGACGAGACGGACTGAGGCTCAGGCCATCATGCTGCAGGCTGGCAGCAGATCATGACAGCAGCAAGCTACGATCCACCTATTTTTGGTATCCCGATCTGCAAGCGCAAGCCCGAGTGCCAACACTGCTGCACACTTGACAGATTTTCGCCGGGAATAAAGGTGCCATTTCTTGCAGCTGTCGCTTGTGGTCCAGACAGATCCGATGCGCTGCTGGTCCTCATGTGATCCACAAGGTCTTGAATGTTGACACAATCTACAACGACGACTGGCAGCACTCAAGAAAGACCATGGGCAGCATTGAGCTAGGGAAGCTACGTATCGTTTCGGGCTGGGACTTTGGTCTCGAGTGAGTTGTGATGGATCAAGTTGCCTTGATACAGACGGGGGCCGGGACTCGGTTTGTTTCGTTTGCTGAGGAGCCGGGCCTTATCGATAGCAGGGTGGCCGTGCACTGGGCGGTGCCAATGAGCCAAGTAAACGGGAATGATTGTCGCAGGGCTGATGCAGTGGAGGACAAGGGGCATACGTAACCTCCGGTCTGTGGCATGGGTTTGTTGAATCTTGAGGCCCGCCAGCGCCAAGTGAGGCAGATTACGCGCATGTGAAGACACTCAACCCGCTCCACCACGCCCCAGACCTCCCTGACTACTCAACAACACACGTCGCCGAGACACACTCAGCAAGGGCCACATTGAAGATCGTACTCAGCCAGGTGCCAGAGCTTCATCTTCGCACTCAACCAGCATCCAACCACGCCTTCCAACCCTCCACCGTCCGGGACCCGACCGCAATCCCGGCCGAGCTCCATGTTCCCGATGATCTCCTAGCTTGCGCCCGCAAGTCACGCCATGTCCTCATCCCTCGAGCCTCCCAGACCCGAACCTATAACCGTGTCTCCGAATGACGATCTGGAGGACCAGGAGAGCCTCAGGACCCTCTCGCGATCGCCGCACCCATACCTCCGCCACAAGTGGGAGCTTCTGGAGCCGTCCGACAGCTTCTTCCCCAGGGCCACTTCCATCCCCACCCATACCCCTGGGGATGCGCGCGACCAGCTCATACCCTCGCCCGCCTTCACCAAAGACTCCACACCCAACACCGACAGCGGCACCGAGGCCGACGATGAGATATTCGTGAAAAGACTGCCTGCGCCGCGGGCGCGGCTGCACAAGGGACTCCGGGGGAGACCTGAACCGCCGTCGGGGGTCGCCACGCCACTCCTGACCCCTTCGTTCCCAGAAGGAGACCTCGATACAACCAGAGGCAAGGAGCGAAGAGCAGAAGACGAGAAAAGGCATCGCGCAGAAAATGCAAAGCGGCGGAAGGAACTCACCAGGCGAGCGACCGAGGTCCTGATCCTGTCCGGCCTGGGTAGGCTCGTCGTCATCAACCCGGACGTGAGCCTGGTCGTCGCATCGCATCGGGAGGAACTCGTGCTTCAAGGTGCACTGTACGCAGCGCTGCTGGCGCTGTATCCCCTGCGCGCGGCGCTGTGGGCCTACACACGAGGAGAGCCATTGCGAAAGAGACTACCTCTGAATGTACCCTCATCTTTCGATCCCGCCATACTCCTGTATCCACCGGTTCTGCCCGTTCTCGTCTCCCTCCTCACGGCTGCAAATGTGAGGGATGCGCTCCTCCCGAACCTCGTGCTCGGCATCGCCTCCTTACCGAGGGCACTAATCCCAACCACCACCGCTGCCGAGACCTTCAGCCCGCTGCATTGGCTCCTTGCAAGCCTTCCTCTCCTGGCGTCCGAAAAGAACTCAGAATGGTCATCAAGAAATGACATCCGACTGTCACTATACCCTCGAGAAGCTTTAATACTGCTCTACCCGTTACACCAGACCTTGTGCCTCATCCTTCACCACTTGACAACTACCAGTCTTCTGCCCGCGGAACTTCAACTCCTCTCTATATCTCTCGCCGACATTCTGATCCTCTCTATCTCACCACAAGCTGTAATACTACAGGCTATCCTTTGGATGGGGGGAATTGGGGTCATCATTCTGTGTGGTCCAGTCATCCGATGGGGCATAGCACTCGCTAGAGTACCGAAATGGCGGTTCCGACGAGTGGCACCTCATAGCAAAGGACCTTCAATTTTCACTTTGATTTCGAGCGCATTCTCTCTGAAGAGGCTCAGACTGGAATCAGGCTCAGACAACGAAGACTCAGATGGCGTGTCCGGTTGTACGACTGACGAAGATGACATCAAAAAAGCCTCAGTGACCCGCCGCGCATCAATTTTACAGCAAGAAAGTGGCTTGAACGAATTCCCGGGGTTGAAGAAGGCAGATACAATTTTAGTGTCGCCTGGGAAAGAGGCGCGGGCCGACTTGTCCACTGATGCCGATGGAACCGCCTTTCAGTCACCCTCCCGGCGGCACACACTGCCTTTTGTGGATAAGATCCTGAGCCGGTCTAAGACTCACACCCCTTCAGGTCGGCGGAAGAGATCTTCTTCCACGACAGTGCGTGCCTTCTTCTCTCTGACCCAGTCACAAGCCATGACGAGAAAGTGGTTGTACGCGGGGTGGCTCTATGTGGGCATCGTCGTTGTCGTTCTAGGAGGCGTTCGGGCCTGTGTCCAGTATCAAGCGCTGGACGGCAATGAGCCTATTGGCTGGGCACTAGGCTACGTCTTCGGTGACCTGCCATGGTTCAGATTTCAGGTCGTCCAGGCGAATCTCGAAAGGTGGATATGTCTCCCCTATCGCGCTGATGAAGACAACAAGTCATGCTCTCTGGGCTGGGTCCAGCACCTACGAGATGCCTCGATCGGCGAGGCAAACACAAGACTAGTGCTAGCCGCTTATTGGGTCACTGTCATCGCCATCGGATTACTGGTTGTCTTCCGACTGTCCCCGTTCTACGAGGTGGACACTCGCCGCAAGGTCTTTCATTTCATGATGGTAGCAATGTTCCTGCCAGCAATTTACGTCGACCCGGGCTGGTGTGCGCTGGCACTTGCCATCGTCCTCGCCATTTTCCTATTACTTGATCTGTTGCGCGCAAGCCAGCTCCCCCCTCTATCCAAACCGATCACCAACTTTCTCCATCCCTACACAGATGGTAGGGACCACTGTGGACCGGTGGTCATATCCCACATCTTCCTCCTTATTGGCTGCGCCATGCCTCTGTGGCTCAGCCTTGCGTCCCTGCCACGAACAGGGACCGGCTACCGAAGAGGCTGGGAGGTACCGACTCGCGACCTGAGCATGGTCGCGGGGGTCGTCTGCGTGGGGCTCGGCGACGCGGCGGCCTCGCTCATCGGGCGGCGTTGGGGCCACCACAAGTGGCTCTGGAAGGGGGGTAAGAGCATCGAAGGGAGCGTGGCGTTTGCAGTGGCTGTGTCCATTGGCCTCTTGGCCGCTAATATCTGGTTGAAAATCGGCGGGTGGCCCATCACGTCCCAGCCCGAGGCTCAGGGAGCCCCGCACGGTCTGGACGCGGTATGGGCTGGGCTTATTGAGTGGGACTGGCTGAGAGTGATTGGTGAAACAGGCTTGTGTGCCACGACGGCCAGCTTGACGGAGGCGGTCCTCACGGGCGGGAACGACAATGTCGTCGTCCCCGTGGTTCTCTGGACCTGCGTCAAGAGCACAGGACTGTGAGGAGGCCGGTTGACCAAGACTCCGTTCCATTACGCGACCTAACAAGCAAGAGAGGGGCCAGGAAAACCCACTTCGCAGTGATGCATTCCCCTTGGAATGGAAGATGACATTGGGTTGGCATTAGATACCAAAAGAGTCCACAAGCTTGGTAGATTTCTTGACAGAATCTATGGCAAACGTATGCGAGCAGTTCCTCGTCAAGAGCAGCAATACCTTGTTGCTAGCTCGTTGGCCCCCGATTCTTTCTAATAATGTAGATATTTTAATCACCATTCGAAAGCCTCAAGGCAGATGCGCGTGAATAATGTTACTGATCACCGAACGACATATATTTACACCGTTTCGTGAGCACAGTGGCACAAAATGCACAAGTCTCCACCAGCCGGAGGCAGGCGAGCAGGCAATCTAGCCAGGGCCGGTGCCGTGGATGCCAGTACAAGCTCAAGTGAGCCCCTTGCTCCTAAAATGACTACCTACGTACTGACAGCTTCTCTCAAAGCGGTTGTCTCTGACTACGCGTCTGGTTCCCAAATGGGGCACGTGTGACGGTGTCGAAATGAGACAGGAGTTAAAGTAGGAAAAAACATGCACATGTGGCTTAGCACAGTAATCGAGGATGTAACACAGCCGGGGACAACAACTCACCCCTTGAGTTCGTCATGAAGTGCTTAGCTGGGCATCATGTGGCTTTGGCTAAGTCTTCTGAGCTCTCGACTCCTGACCTCACTATACACCCTGCTGCACAAGTCCCCCGCTTCGATCCAGCCTCAAATGAGTCTCGAAATGAAGGCACTTGTATTCAAAAGAAAGATACCCTAGGGCCATAAATAGTTTAGTCAGGAAAACAGATGCAACTGTGGTCTGGCGAGGTGATTGATGAGCTACGTAGCTAGCGGCAATAACCAGGGGTCGGCACTCAGATTTGTAGGGCCTGAGGGTCCTGATGGCCACAGATCTGAGGGGTTGCTGGCTGAGCCATGTACGCAGAAAGAGGTTGTGGTTGCGGTGATATGTTGTCAGGAACGTCCTGCGGTTGCAGAACCTAATCCAAACAAGTTGACCTAGACGTTGTGTCTGTGTAGAGCCAACATCTATGGCAAATTGCTTGATCCTGCACTGATAACATACCATGTCTCGTTCTACTGGCACCTCGCTACATGAATGCGTATGTACAAGTTGTGTTGCTGGCCTAGTTTGCCCAAGACAACGCTCGCCCCAGCATATGCACCTGACTCTGCATCGAATCATGACATCAAGTCCTCCAGAATAGCCTCGAGCTCTTCCTTTCGGAAGGGCAAGCTCAACAGCTCTGTGCCCAAGACGTCCTTGCGGCTGGTGATCATTTGGTGATCGTGGAACCTAGTGAAAACAGTCAGCTCACCGTAATGACAACCCGGGACGTCTCATATGGTATGAGAAAGGAAGATAGGGAAAGACCGAAAGCAAACACATACTCCTTCAGAAGCGTCCTGAACGCCATCTCCGAGCTGCATATGAACTCCTCAACCGCCTTGTTGTACAGCATCCGGTACTCAACGCCGGGGTTCTCGCCGCCCGCGCCAACACCCTCGTCCTCCAGTGCGACCAGCACCTCGCCCACCAGCAGCCTGAACAGGTTCTTGGCGTTGTCCGGCAGCGACTTGAGCACGAACGCCACGCCGTCTTTGCCGCCGACGCGCCGGGCCTTGCGGCCGAGCAGCTCGTGGACCTCGTCGACGACCTCGAGCTCGGCGGCGCTCCGGCGTGCGAAGGTCGTGCAGTCGTGGAAGACGAAGTTGAAGGCCGAGCGCTGCCCGCTGTCCCACAGCAGCGGGAAGTCGGGCGTGTCGACCGAGCAGGCGAGCCGGATGCGCGGGTGCCCTGCGAGCTGGGAGAGGATGGTGTAGAAGGAGGACTTGCGCAGCGGTGGTGCGTCAGCGGAGTTGAGGATCAGCGTCAGTATGATGTCTGAGGCGGTGATAAGGGAGAGCACGTCCTGGAGGAGTGCGACAGGGTTGCCGGAGGTGAGCTTGTAGGATGGATCGACTGCGCTGCTGACGGTGGAGAGCACCTCGCGGATGCTGATGGTGCGGACATATCCGTTCAAGATGACTATCTTGTGAGGTGATTGACCGCTTGGGGTCTTGCTGTGGAGGTGTTTGGCGAAGCGGTGTAGGAGAGGTCGTTTAGATCCGTAGCCGTATAGACAGACGCTGAAGCCTTCGGCCAGTTCGAAGCCCCATTGCCCAAAGGACTCCGCGTGAAGGTCCTCCAGGAACTTGATGTCCGCATCGTGTGGGTCCTTCAAGTCCCGAACGATTGAGAAGTACTCATCATGTGTGAGCAGATCTAGCGATGCCAGAGTGTTGTTGGATGTCTTGGCCAGGCCAGGTTTGTTCTGGAAGAAGTACATCTCATGCGGTGGCAGATCTCGAGGCGGCGTCGGAGATCTCTTCCTAGCCGCAGCCTTCCTCTTCCGGCCCCGTGCGGCCTTGGACGGTGTCGCCAGAGCGCTTCCGGCACCATCCTCAAGATCTCCGTCCTGGCCTTCTTCATTTTCTTGTACACCCTCGTCGCCACTAGACTCGAAGATCTCCCGCGCAAGGCCCTCATCACCAGCCTCATCATCGCTCGTGGCATCGTCAACCACACGGTCGATGATAGCCCGGGCACTCTTCCGACGGGCTGACCTGTCGGCGACGGTGCGACGGCCCGGCGTGTCGATGCCCCTGGCTCCACTCTCCCTGTGCGGCGTCTCAGGCTTTGCCTGGGACAACGCCGATCGTGACCCCCGGGGTGTTGACTTCGTTTCATCGACCTCACTCCCTTTCCGCAGCTGCTGAAGCTTTGGCTCTGGGTGGGCGTCCACGCCGTGCCGGCGTCGCCACGACAGGCTCTGCTAGCTCATCCTCCATTGCGTTGTCGGGTCCCTGGCTCGAACCGGCCCCGTCGAACTCGTAGATTTCCCGAGATATCATGTGGTCACCCTGATTCTGAATCCTTCGCCGCTGAGTATATCGATCTGGCTGGAGTCTCTGACGTTTGAGACGGCCGATGCTGGAGGCGGCAAGCTCCGATGCTTGAATGCTCTCCGGCGCACCTTCTTCCCAACGCTGGCAGCGTGTATTGAGTCTCTCGCTGTTTGCCCCTGTACCACCACTGGTGGCCGTGCTCACTCTCTCGCTGTGCTCCCTCTGACGATCGCACTCTTGCTTCCGCTTCCGCTTCCTCTTCCAGCCGCGGTTGCGCTGGCACTCTCTCCGGCGACACCCTCCTGGCGCTTCCGGAAGCAATCTTTCTCCACTGAAAGTTCCCTGGGCGATTGTGACGGTGATCACGATCTTGGTCTTGGTCTTGATCTTGCTCTCGCTTCCGCTTCTTCCTGCGATACTCGTGGTGTTGACGCTGTCTCCGCCGATCACGACCGCGCTGGCACTCCCTGACAAGTCTCTCAGAATTCCACGATATCGACTCTATTCCAGGCCGAACTGCGCGATCTCATGACTGAGGCTCCAACTTGCCCGTTTCTGGTGCCTTGGCTGCGATCTGCCTCACGCGTGTTCCTTTCACGTGGTAACGCGTTGGGGGCAGAGTACGCGCAGCGGCACGCGAACCCCACAGCAACAGCTCCATCGGCCCGAGGCGCTTTGACCGGGCCTTATTTCAACGTCACTGCCTACAGTATCTACTGACCTACATATATGTGCCAGCCAGCCAATCCTAGGACGTGCACAACAGAAACACTTCTCTAGCCACTGGTTCAGCTGTTCACTCGCTCACTCGTGCACGTTGCATAGCCCCGACAATGGGCGTGAACCTCAACCTCTCAGCCTCCTTGAACATGTTCAAGCTCCTGTCAAACCCGTCTTTGTGTCTGCCTCATGCTGCTATATCGACCTTCAGGGACCTGCCAATCCCTCTGGACTCAGCCTTCAAGCGCAAGGGTGTCGAGGTTGATATCAAGGCAGTTGTGCTTGACAAGGACGACTGCTTTGCAGTTCCAGAGACAAATGAGGTCCACAAGCCATACCAGGTATCATGTTGATCTTCTTTGGGGGTACTAACATGTGGACACCAGCTGACCCTCGATAGGAACGGTTCGAGGCGCTGAAGACTGCATATCCAGGGCGACGCATCCTGATAGTCTCCAACACAGCTGGTGCCCTCAGCTATGATCCCAAGGCCCAGCTGGCATCAGAGCTCGAGAAGGCCACAGGAGTGAGGGTGCTTTCCCACCAGAGCAAGAAACCTGGCTGTGGTTCCGAGATTATGGAGTATTTTCGCAGTCATCCTGAGACTGGTGTCTCCAGCCCCAGCCAAGTCGCCATTGTGGGTGACAGACTCTTCACCGACATGATGCTTGCCAACAGCATGGGAAGCTACGGTCTCTGGATCAAGGACGGCGTTGTTCCCCTTCAACAGAAAAGCATCGTGAGCTCTTCCTTGGCATTGATGTCCCTGTAAGCTGGTGCTGACTGGTTTCTTAGTTTTCGAGGACGGAGCAGAAGCTTGGTCCGTACCTGCTCGCTCGGGGTTACCAGCCTCAAGACCCTGGCAGTCCATTCGAGTAGCTCCGGCTGATCTGGACAATGCCTGGAGCTATGGCATCAAGGTTCCCCTTGACAATTAGATGCTGCTCTTTGAGGGTCTTCAACCAAGCTTCAATCTTGGGCATTGTTGTTCCTCTACCTTTGAATGGCAAGGGTGTGAGTTCTGACAGGGACCTGTGGGAACACCTCCCGTCAGATCACCTGTGGGATAGCCTTCTGGGGAACCTTGCTCTGGGATGGCTTATCCGGGATGAGATGATGCGAGATGTTTGTCCCACGACGTTGTGGTGAGGTGTTCAGCCTGCTGCGGATGGGGATGCATGCCTTGTGATCACATGCCTCACCTCTTGGTCCTCGTCTGAAAGAGATGGTGCTTACGAAGGCACCCGCGCTGTCCGCCTGGGTGTTTGCTATCCGCATTTCCCCTCTCTGGCTCTTGCTGATGCACCGGAATTGCATATCGCAGTATGGCACGTCTTCCTTGGGAAGCTGGTCAGCTTATTCAAAGCAACTGCTGCCATTGTATTCCTGGCTGCAGATATTGAACAATGGTCTGCCCCCAAATAGCCCAGGTGGTTCCGGCCTATGACGGTGGGCCATTCCCAACAACCCTCGAGGGTGGCCCCTGGTCTTAGCCCCGGCCGGGTGTGCCTTATTGCTGCACCAGCTCTTGAATAGCCTGACAGCGGTACTATGACATCGTGTGGAAGCTTCCAAAGGCCAATGAATCACTCTGGATCTATTGCAGCTGGTGGGGCAATGTTCATTCTGGCGGTCGGTACAATCAGTTTTGGTCCGGCCAATGAACCACGCCGTTGAGTGACTCTCCACGGCCAGTCTGCCATAAAAGCCCAGCTCCGTTCCACGCCACAAGCTTCTTCAACCTCTTTTCTTTTCCATAGCATCGCCCTGTTGGACCGAACAACGCTCAACACATCTTCATTTCCAACTCAAAGGCAACATACCACTGCTGTCTGTTGACAACTCGACCAAGGCGACAAACCTGAACCACAGCAATCATGGGAGGCAAAGTCTGGAGCAAGCGGGAAGAGGCGATCTTCTGGCTGATCTTGGCCATTCTCTTCCCTCCTGGACTGCACCAGGAGACCAAGGGTGTCAAGAAGGGCCGAAGTGATATTCACAAGTCGTGGGAGCCCTTCCCGGAGATGATGAACCGATACTGGCGCGAAAAGTATCCGGGAGAGGATCCCCCACGAAAATACACCGCAGTGTCGATGTGTGAGTTTGGAAATAAAGACTTTGTGCGTTGCGTTGGCCGAGGTTGCTGATCCAATGGGCTTCCAGATGAGCATTATTTCCAGAACTTCGTCCAGGGAAAACTCTCCCCCAATGCGAAACCATTCGTCGAGGAGTACAAGGCTCGGCTCAAAAAGGCGGCTGAGAATCCTAAGTCTAGTGAGTTCTTATGCTAGAGGGTGGCTGCGGCTAAGGCTGCAGTATGCTGACTGGCATGTAGGCTCTGACAACGAAGAACCCGAGTCTCGCGAGCTGAGCATAGTTTCCGAGTCTAGCGAGCAGAGCGTCCCTGAGTCCACCAAGGCAAAAGAGTCCGAACCCAGCGAAACCGCTGTCTCGATTCCCACGAGTGCGATCTCCCAGCAGAGTGCCCGTCAGCAAATCGCCTGCGAGGCTCCTCCACCCCCGAACTGCCGTCCCATCATGTTGCCCTGCCAGGCTAAGGCCCAAGCTCAGGAGCCATGGGAGAAGAAATGGCAGAAGAAATTGGAGGAAATTGGAAAAAAGCGTGTCAGCTACGATCATGGAAGCCAAGAGCGTCCCGGTAAACGCCTTCGGACGATGGGCATCAGTCACCATGATATCAACATGTCTGCGCCCAAGGGCCTTCCGAACCAGCACGATATGCCTGCAGAGCAGAATGCCAACGATGGCGACCAGTTTACCCGAGTCCCTCCTGCACACATGAGCTTTCAGAACCAGAACCGCATGCCTGTACAGCAGAATGCCAACGGTGGCGACCAGTTTGCCGGGTTCTACCCTGCGCACATGGGCTTTCAGAACCACAACGGTGTGCAACCGGGCAGAAACACCACTCCAGCTTCCTTGCAGAGCCGAACACCATCGGAGGCGGACAGCTTCGCCAACCCATGCCTAATATGCAAGGTCCTCCGCACAACAACTGGCATCAGTTCAACATGGTTGCGACCTATCCCGGCCCCACCACCGGTCACCATGGTTCTCAGAACAGTACCGACCTCTTTATCGACCACAACGGTACCCAAGTCAACTACCGTGGTGTCACCGGCCCTGGTCTTGTCCAGAACGATTCCAACTCATTCATAAGTCATGGTGCTGAACAGTCGAGCCACAGCACTGTCAACGGCCGCGGTGATGCTCAGAAGAGGAAGCGTTCAGACCTGTGAATAGAGAATGGAAGTCGAGCATTGAAGCGGAAGCGGCAGTCATTAGCACCGCAGGATGCGCGCTGGTTTTGGGTTGTGGTGATGAGAGGTTCTATTCGCTCGGATAGTCGCATTGAATCAAGTCCGGGCTGGCATACCTTTCATATCGTGACTACCCGTCCTCTCCATACGATGAAATGCATCTTGCGATTTCTGCGAAAAAAAATAAAGTTTTTGTTCTACAGTGACTAAATCTGAGATGCCCCTATGGAAGGCTTTCCCATCGTCGCTTATTCCGTAGAAGACTATCGCGCAGCGGAGTTTCCTGTAGCGGCTTCTCCAGTGGAAACGACGTTGGTCTCCTACTGGAGGTTATCCCATAGGAGGCGAGGTCCCATAGCAGCTTACCCCATAGCAGATGATCCTTAAGTAGCATGTGCTGTAGCAAATTAGCCCAAAGCTGGTTATCCCACAGCGACTTTTTGCACTGAAGACTTGTATATACGGGCTGTTCTGATCTGCCCTGTATTGTATCAGCTGTGACCGCGGATGCTGTGACTGGCTCTATTTCGACATTTGGATTAGCAACGGACACGAGTCACAGGAGCGGTAGTTTGATGGTGCTTCAAACCAGTCTGGCTGAGAATCCAAAATGGCCTGCCTGGAAATGCTAGAACGGGGTCGCAGCAGCAGGTCACAGATGAAAGCATGATTTACGTAGAGTGAGGTGTTGTTTCGCGATTGAATCAAGACAGTGCAGCAACAAGATTGCAGAAATTACTATTCCACCTTCTCCTCATGAATATCTGGTCCTTAAGCATTGCCCTGCACAGTTCCGGTGCAGCTAGTCCTCAGCGTCTGGGCACGCGCACAGCTTAGGATAGTATATCCCCGAGTTTGTTCAACTCGTCCGCATCAACAACATCTACAGAGTGCCTGGTCAAACAGGACGAGTGAGACCAGACGCGTGAGCCCTGAAGCCGCGGCAGCTTATCACTCAGCACTTGTGCGTTGGAGCTCCTGACGCCGCCTCCCACGATGACCTCGATGTGCTCCCCAGCGGCAGCATGGACGACCCGGGTCAGCGCGCCCAGGTTGTCCACCGCCGAGCCCGGCCCGCCCGAGGTGAGCACCCCATCGAACCCACACGCCTTGACAGACCGTACTGTCTCGTCCACGGCGCCGCCGCCACCCAAGACCTCGTCAAAGGCCCGATGAAAAACACACTTGAAGGGGCTCGCCAGCCGGACGAGCTCTGAGTTTCGGTTGACGTCGACGAGCAAATCTCTTTCCGCCTCATTGCGTGCTTCCAGAATCCCGAACACGAAGCCGTCATCCCTTCCTGTCCGCAGGTATCCGGAGTCTTTGAAGGTCTGGATATCACGTCTCATCTCCTCGAGCTCGCCGGGCGAGTAGATGAAGTCTGGGCCGTCTTCTGGAGGGCCACGTGGCCTGATCACTGCGGTTTTTTTAAGTCAGCTATCAAGATGCCGACGGAGAGATTTATATGGATATGTTTGGGAGTAGACCGTCATAGTACAATGGCCTGTCTCAGGAGCTTCAGCACAACACGCAGCTCTAAGTTACGGAACGTGCATGGCAGATGCTTCTCCGAAGGGTAAACGTTGTATTCAAAATCAGCTTACTGATCCTTAGCGGGATGGGCACTGCCGAAAGACTCTGCACATCGGAAAACTCAGGTGTGAGGCCACCCTTGGGATATGAGCCCGCTCGGTTGAGCTCAATGCGTTTTGCTCTAGTGAGTGCCACTTGCGCAGAGGCAGGGGAGAAGACGGGGACTTCGAGCTCGAGAGGAGCCATGGCTTTTGTGCAAGTGTACCGAGGATTCACACTTAAAACAGAAACAATTAATTAATTTCCTTGCTTTCCCCAATGCTTCCGGGACGATGTCAAACTTTGCAAATGAATTGACGCTGCGGCCAGGATGTAGAAGCGCATGGAGGAGGGCGCAACGGTGACTGTCGGGCTGGCGTGAGTGAGGGGACAAGGTTCGCCGAGCGACTCGGAGCTGCAGTGAGTGCACTGGATTGGACTGGGGAGCTCACCTCCCCTGCCTCTGGAGCCACCCCACATTGGAACAAATGCCTACTTGCCAGTACTGTTGATTCAGGTCAGGTTCATGAACTGCATCCCACCAGCAAAATAAGAACCAAGTGCTCGAGATGCCAAGCTTTCAATCGGTTCTACTCCTTCCTTGCGCGTACCGCAGTGCCTCTTAGTGTGTCACCACGCCTCGGCAAGAGGCTGTCTAGAGACGCAGTTTCGCTACTTGAACGCAGAATCTCTCTCTCTCTCCCTCTCTCTTTTTTTTTGGGAAGGGGGGGGGGGGGCATTGGATTCACAGAGCCCTTTTTTCATAACCACAGGCGGAGAACATAGAGCCTTCTAGCCCAAAATGGCGCAACATCTTCGAAATAGAGCTGGGGAAGCGCCGTTGGCGGTTTACAGGCTGTTCTATCTAATGCGTCTACATGGTATTGTAACCTCATTGCATCTCCAATGTCTCATCAACTCCACTTATTCAGATAATTTCTGACGCGTATATCAGGATGGTGTCTCAGTATCTTCCTTCTCAGCGACCGGTTGACCGCTCGGGACTAACATGTTGTTGGTATTCCCTCGTGGCATGCTCAATGGTCCCATTCGGCGTCGATCTTCTCCCAGTTGTCCAGGAAGCCCCTGAACCACTTCACACCCAGACCCGGGTCCAAGGCGCCCGTGGTGGCCCTTATGGAATGCATCGAGAGTTGCGGCAGCCCCGCATCAACAGCCCTCACACCCAGCATCGAGCTGAGACTGGGACCAATAGTGCCGCCTGACCTGGAGTCGTTCCGGATCATGAAACGCTGGTTCTTGGTGCCGCTCAGCTCCGCCACACGACTGCAGATGGCCGTGCTGATGCTATCCGTCGTCACTGTTCAAGATTGTTAGCTGCCTGGTCGGGTGTCGAAGTGCTGGTTCATAAAGAGGTGTCATATATCGAAATGGGACCGGGGCTGGAAGCGCATAGGAAATGTCAAGCTTATACGTACTATGTCCATTGCTGTCCGCGCAGATCGTCACACCCACGTTGAGCAGAGGAAGATGATCGGCCTCATAACGCTCAAGGAAATTCGGATTTGCGGCGTGCGTGACGTCGGAGGATACCAGAAATGAGCGTGCATAGGTCTGGCCGAGAACACCAGGCCCGAAAGTCTTGCCAGCGCTGGAAGACAGTGACTCAACGGTGCGTTCAATAACCGAAGGCAGGAAGTTACCCTTAGCTCCCTGTCGGAGCAAGCTTCCGATCTCCTCGTCGTCGAAAAGAGCCACAAGCTTGATTCCGCCATCAGATGGCGCGTGGTCTCCGTATAGCAGACCAGTCAAGGCAGCCCATGAACAAAGCTTGTCATCAATACGACCCGCAGAGATGAATTCCTTGTCCAAACCTGCAACGGTAGCAGGTTGGAAGTCAAACAGCTCGAGCTCCCAGTTGATAATGCTGCTGTAGTTCTGGGGCTTGAGACCCAGCTCCGAAGCAATGAGCTTGACCAACTTGGGCGGCTGGGAGGATATGAATGTGCCCGCCTCGCCAAGAACCTCTTCTGGCGAGGAGGACTCGAGCCCAATCACAGGGACGGCCTGCGTCTCCTTGTTCTGCGCACCTATCATTCCAACCCCGAAATGAGGTGCTAGCGTTGGGATCTTTGCAATTGGCCAGTCCAACTTGACCAGTTTGCTGGTGGTCTTACCTGCCTCCGAGTCACGAAGAATCACACGGCCACCAATGGAAAGGTCCCTGTCCCACCAGGTCTCGTTGAGCGCTCCAGCGTAGGGAGCAACTCCCAACTGCAAGTAGCCAGCCTTTACAGGCTTCTTGCTGACGGGTTTGAGCTTCGCAGTCAAGGCGTCTATGTGACCGCCGATAATGGCCACACCATTTCCAGGCTTGTAGGCCTCGCCAACGACGAACGCTGCGATGGTGCTAGCGTTTCGCGTGACGAAGTACTTGCCGCCAGGCTTGATTTGACCCGACCAGTCATCCCGAGCAGGCAGCTGGAGGTGAGGATGTTAGTTCATGAACTTCCCTTGTACGTCAGACGGGGGCGTCTGGCTTACCTCGGTGAAGCCAACCGCAGCCAGCTTCTCCTTGAAATAATCTACGGCGTGGAAAATAGTGGGATTCTCAGTTAGGAACTGAGTGAATGGCTTGGTAAAAGCCTCGGGCTTCAAGGACCTGAGATGGCAGATCTTGCAGGACGGGCGGTCAAGCAGCTTGTAGTCTTGGCCGGACTCTGCTCTGACGGCGTTGTCCTGCTGCTGAGGTGTTAGGCCCAACATGCAGCCCCTGCACACTTTGTTCTCGCTTCTTGGGGCACGATCCATCTCAGCGAGATTAAAACATTGTGCCTCCCTGGAGAGCTCTCGCGCCGGCGCGGGAGATGGGGCATCCATCTCGGTCGAGGCAGAGCGCAGCGAAGCAGCCGAGTCCTGGGGACGCAGAGGGAGGGATGCAATGCTTCGTGTCATATCTAGGATTCAGAGTGAGAGGCAACCAATTCGTCGGGGCGAGATACTCCCAATGCAGCTGTCGTGGAGAGAAAAGACCACCCTGGCGACTTGACGGTGCCAGAGGGTGAATGCTGTCATTGGGTCCAGCTTGTCATGCTCATGACCGCCACTTATCAGTCTTATCGCAGGTGCCGCGGCAACCCGCCTAAAAGGGAAGGAGATGCCCACTGTTTCTCTGAAAAGGATCCATTCCCCCCCTAAACAAGTACCAACCTCTGAATTTCGAAATTGTCACCCACGAGCTTCACCAGGGCATCTTTTTAGTCAATCAAACCGTCCACCTGATCGCAGCATCTCTGAAGTCTTGCTCCTCTCTTATCTCTATCTAGGAAGGTGGGCAGATGACCTCGGCAGGTCAGCTGGTCCGAGTGTAACGGTGGTATGACTCGATCCTTGGGAGTTCACAGGCTGGAGGCGGTTACATGGCTGGGTGCCAAAACATAATGTGCAACTCAATGCTACATGTCTTTCGCGGGTTGAAAACACGGAGAGGTCTGCCATGCTTATATTGTACTCGATGTAATTTTGGAGAGACAGGACGGCCTGTTTCAACATTGCTAGCAGCCTTATAAGAGCTCTTGTCAAGGGCTACGCATGTAGCCTGGGTCCGCGCAAGTGGCAGCCAAAGCTAACTTTAAGTCGATAAATGCAGACCAAATTGGGAGGCAACCGCCACACGTTAGACACCGTCCATCACATGAAGAGCCCACATCATGGCCATGTTTTCATTCCAAAAAGCCGGTAACCCTGGTCATATTTCTGATAGGAAGGCCTGCTTGCTTTCGTGCCAGAGGTGTATTTGTTGGGTCTCCAACACGCCACGACGAAGCTCAACTGTCTCCAGCGAGTCTCGCTCACGAGCATGTTTCCTGCAACTTTACTGAGCCCCCTTCAGTACTCTACCAATTCTTCGAGTCGTGTCTTCAGTGTCGTGACAGGTTTGAGTGTGCATCGAGCAAGACATGAAACAACATCAACCAAAGATCGACTGAAGGTTCGGTAGGATGTTCTGCAGGATTAAATGCTCCGAACCTGTGATATCAAATGAGCCATGTCCACACTCGCTCTAGCCCGATGGGCTCTCCAGAGCAGGGTGCGAGACCTATTGCAGTACCTGCTGATGTGGTTAACGTCAGAAAGCTGCCAAGTACGAAAGAGAGAGGGGCTCAGAATATACAAATTTGAGAGCGTCTAAAAACCATGGGATATGATGGGCCAAGCAAGGCAAGGCGAAAATCAAGCATTCTTGTTCCTGCTGTAAGATGCCTGGGGTTTCTGGGCCTAAGGCACCACTTAGGGGCCCTCTGGGTAACAAGGTGCAGCAGCCTGCAGGTACAGAGCTGGGGTGAGAGGTGGGCCCCACCTGCCTGAAAGAGAAACAGCTGCTTATGTTGATCCCTTTTCATTGGAGCCTTCTTGCTGTCAGCCGTCTCGACCAAACTCGCTCCAGCCAGAACACAGGCAATTACCTGCACCGCCCAAGTCCACAGACCAACTCGGTGCAACTGGCATTTCAATGGTCTCCAGAGGTGGGTTCATCTGTAACTGGACCGCGAGGCTGCCGTTCAGTGTTTTCTCACAACTCCAGAGTTAGCCGGAGAGCCAAGCACTTACTTCCTGACATCCTTCCTGTCGCACAACAACCACGTCCGACTCGTCAACATCAAGAAATCCTCCACTGCCAAGCAACCGACATGTCAAGATTTCTTCTTAACACGGGTACCTGAACACCCTGGTCTAATAGCCATACCGACATTCTGACTCTCTGACTGCACTCGTGCAACGGCAACATGCCTCTCGACATCAAGTTCCACCTCTTCCACACCCTGCCACCGGAGATCCAGGACAGCATCTGGGAGCTTTGCCTCCCACGGCGCATCATCAGCCCGTATTACTCACCAGTCTCGCAAGAAGTCTTGGGCACATTACCCGGAACAATATATAACTTATCTTCCGGTCCGCGCACTCATTCCTTTCCGCCCGCCTCTGATCTTTCGCGTCTGCAGGCGCGCACGTGCCACGGTTCTGAGATGCGGCCAGTACACCCCAGTTCGGGTCGAAGAGAGGGACGGTTCCAAGTCTGATGGATGGGTCTGGCTTGAGAAGAAGTCAGATTGGGTCTATTTCAATTATCACACCATGATGGAGGGTCTTGACGACAGTGGTGCAGGACCACAGGTCTTTGAGCTTGCTCGCGATGCTGGTGTTCCTCTTCTCATCGACAGCACCATTCAAGGCGATCACGAAAATCCGCTGCATGACAGCGAAGACTACTTCGATCCATCCTATAACGAACTAGACCACGAGACGATAGGATCCAGGCTCTACGATTCCTTTCTGAGGATAAGGGAGCATTTCTACTACGTCATGGCAGAAGTCGTCTTGGTTGTGACCGGGAAGGGCCGCAAGCATGTTGTCGACACCGGCCTTTTCGGCCTGCTTGGGGAAGATATGGCGATTGTCCCTATTGCCGACAAAGAAATGTGACAGCAGTACAAGTCTTTGTACAATATGTACGACGCCAGAGAGGCGCCGTATAACGACTGTCCTGCCAGAATCCAGCTGGGCATAGACAGCCTGATCAAGGGAGAAGATCAAGCTACAATTGAACCACGAACTCTTATCCGTGGTCTTCTTGAACGCATCTGCGAGGAACGAGGAGAGTTTGGAATTTCGGCGAAAGACATGATGAACGAAGACGGCAGCCTGAAACCAGAACATCCCGTAGTTAAAAAACTCGGTATCGCGATGCCCATCTGCGAGAAAGTCGTCGTCTTCGAGCTCCGACACCTCGATACTCTGGTGGAAGACTCAGTACAACGGCCACACTGGTATTCGACTGACTCGACTGACTCGACTGACACAAATGACACGAGTGACACGGAAATTGATGGGGTCTGAGCAAAAGATTGGGAGTCCGGGATCAGTGTTGCTCTAGAAAGGAAGTCAGCGCAGCGCTATCAATGCAGCAAACATCTCGACTTCAGCCGTCAACGTGGCCAGATCGCTATTTGTCTACGGACCAGCAGAATATTCATCACTGAGACATACTTTTGTGACAGAATGTTGGTGATGTCTTGAATTTTCTGAGCTTCGGTTTTACAGCGTTGTTGAGGACATTCCATGTTGCAGCTTTGTGCTTAAACAAACTGAGGGTCGCTGCCTTTATACAGTATTCTGAAACAGTCGAAGCAATACCTTCCTGGCTAAATTGAATGAGATAAAACGGCCAGTATGTCTATTGTGAAAAAAATTACCATTCGTCTAGAAGCGAAGTTCAAGGAACAATCTGCACCCTGCCCACTATGATCCCTATTCCATCCCACGAAATATCCGTGGGCGTTGGGCATTTGCGCTCCCAGTTCCATTTGTTAAGAAGGTAAGTTTGACGATCGAGGAGCTGAACCCACCTCATTCTCTTGCCTACTTCAAGTGAGTTGCAAACTTTCTTCCATACTTCAGCCACAGATGACAGCACCCAACATGTCCTCAGACCTTTTAAGTGATAAGCATTCCGTGATGTTTCGCCGATCATCTCTACCAGCTATGCTAGCTTTTCTGAAGGCACACACTCTGATCAACACATCACCGGCATCTCAGCCATTGCCTCCGCCAGAGCAGACTCCACCTGGGACGCCAGCAACAACACCCTTCTCCCCTGGACCTACTGCCTCCGTGGGGGCGGGCCCGGAGGGGAAGGGGGGAGGGGGCACGCCGACCTTCTCTCGTGAATTATTTGCCGAGGAGTACGACACAGTCGCTTTCAACCACTCCGGCATCTTGTATGCCTTGCTGTATCTATACCATCCGCCCCCACGGCAACGGCACTTGTAGCAACCCGTGCGACCCCCCGCATACTCAAGCTGTCCATCGCAAGCTCTGCCTTGCTGAGGGTGACGAATACGAGTCCGTAGTCAAAGACATTCTTGGCCCGGCTTTGGCCAGACTGGAGGCTGAGAAGAGGGACTGCCATTTGACGTTGCAGGTGTCAGCTAAGTTGCATTGGTAAGCTTTACTGCTTCTTCCCATGGGTGACTATTACTAACCCACCCTTCAAACGGCTACCTTTCTTCTCTGGCCCATTTGTTGTAATCTCAACCAATTTTGCCGATTAACTGGTCGCAATATCATACTTCTTGAGGACAATCATGCCTTCGCAGCGGCGGGCTGTGCTGCTTGCAAGGGCTGACGATTCCGGTTGATTTGACGCTGAGGTAAATTGAATTCGTCTCTCAGATGCTTGGAATTGGGGCAATACGGAGGTAGATCCATGTGCCACTGGTTGATACCCAGGTCTTCAGGCAGTGTAGAACCAGTCCATTGGCATGGATGCCCACAAGTGCTTGTAGGTGGCCACTGCTCACCAAGTGGCATATTTCGCGACGGCAGCCAAATTATCTTCGGGTCTCTGGAGTCATTTGAATAGCATGATTGAGCTTGGTAACCATGTTAATGCTTAGATATCCTCCCGCATAGCGTACCTCATTAGGTTTAGACACAGCGTTGCGGAGAACTGATCCAGCTAATTCTAGGGCTTCGTGAATCAGCCATGTGTCTAAAACTATGCGAACTCCTTGCCTCACTCTGCTTGCTGTTGGAAGGTGCAAGGGTCGTATGCCCATACGCTAGCGCTAGCCTACAAATAGGCTCCTTTTAAGCGTTCAATAGCAGGGAGATTTCTCTCCTTAACAACCACAATCAACTATCGTTTGCTTTATTGCTTCATTAAGTTATAAGCTTAACATCGCTTAAAATATCTTAAAACATTAAGAAATATCAATACCCCCATTTCTATAATTATTTTTATACTTAAATTATTAAAATTTTAATATTACTAGCCTTTACTTATATATCATTATTATACCTTATAATAACTATTATAGCTAATAATAACTTATAATAATTTAGCACTCTTACCTTATTTAATATTCCAACTACTTACTTCTTTTTTATTTATTTTATTTATATTAATTAATGCTAACTATTATAAATAAATAAATATATAAATATTATTTAAAATATACTTAAAGATATATAAACTTTATTTAAAAGATATTAAATATACTTAACTTTAAGCTTAACTTATTATTTCTCTTAAAGTTAAACTTAAAAGGGGAAAACTTTTTAAATTAAAGAATGGCATAAAGTTATAGCTTTTAATTTATTAGCCTTAATAAATATATTATAAGCATTAAAAAATAATTAAAAAAAAATATAGCCCTTATAAAATAAAAAAAGCTTAATAATCAAGCCTTTATTATGCTTTTAAGCTTAATATATTTAAGCCTTATAATATTTATTATATTATATAAAAAATCTTTTAATGCTTAAAAAATACTAACTAATTAATTTAATTATAATACCAGCAACTTAACTATTTACCTTTTTTATTAATTAATAAACTTATAATATAAAAATAACTTTAATTTATAAAGCTATTTAAACGCCTTTTAAAACCTTTAAATAAAACTTTATATTAAAACTTTAATATTAAAATAATTAATTAAGAAGTTAATAAAGTTACTTTTTAAAAGTAATAAGATTAAAGGCTCCTTTTTCTTAATAATGCTATTAAATATTATAAATAATATCATTAATAACTTAAATAGTTAAAACTTTATAATATTTTTTAAAATTAAATTTAAAATAATAAATATCATTTCTTATATAAAGGTTAAATAATTTAAAGCTTACTTTATCTTTATTTAAAAAAAGTTAGCATTAAAGGGTATAAAAAAGGCTATAAAGTTTGCATTAATAAGTGCTAACTTTATATTAAGTAATAAAAAATGCACTTAATGCTATGCATAAAACTTTATATTTATTAATTATTTATATATTAATTATATAAAGCTTATTAAATATAAAGCTAATTAGGAATAAAAAAAGAGCAAGAAATAAGCTGCTATAAATTAAGTTATAAATAAAGAAGTTATTAAAATTTCTAATAATAATAAGGAAAATATAATAATATTATATATTAACGTTTTAATATATACGGTAAAGTTATTAATAACTATAAATACTTTAATATTATAAATTTTTAATTTTAATGCTTTAAAGCATATAATAAAATATATAGAAAACTTTAGCTCTTTATAATTATATTTAAGTATAATTATTATTGCAAATAATAATTAATTTATTATAAAAGGCATTAACTTTATAAAGATCTTTTTATAATTATTAAATAAATTAATTATTAAAAGCATCTTTATTAATATTTTATATAATTACGCGTTAAAGAATACTTATTTATTTAGTTAAATTATAATTTAAAAGAGGTTTTAATTAAATGCATAGAAAAACAATATCTTCTTATTATTAAAAGATAATAAATTTTGCAAGATATTATAAGTAAAGTTTTAATATAGAAATTTTAAAATTTAAATAATAAAAAATAACTTTATAATATTTATAATATATAATAAATTTTATAAAGCTTTTAGCTATAATAATTTATTAAAACTAATTACTTAATACTTATATAAAGATAAAAACATTATGCTAAATAAATTAATAAATTTTTATTATAAACTATATTAACTTATAAAGTCCGTTAAAAAATGCTTGTAATTATTATTAAAATAATAATCCATGCAGTTATTTAAATATATTTAATTTAATTTATTAAGCAAATTCTTAATAATATTATTAAAGGATTTTTAATACTTTATTTTATTTATTAATAATTATATTTAGTTTTATTAAGTTTACTTTATTACTTAAAAGGATAATATTTTAAACATTATTAAGGAATTCTTAAATATAATTAAAACTTAATTTAATGTAAAAGTAAAGATATTTAGTTTAAATAATAAAGGTAAATATATAAATAAGATAATTATTATAATATTTTAAAGATGTGAAATCATTTATAAGAAATTACCTTTTTATTACTATAAGTTAAACGGCATGCTTAAAAAGTTTATATATATTATTATTACCAATGCTTATATAATAATTCATAATGAAAACTACTTATTCTTATAGCTTAAAGCAATTTCCTATATAACGTACTTATAAAATTAAAAACCATACTTAGCCTTATTATGCTAAATAACGTTATTTAAAGTACTTTATAAATAAAAGCTTAATATTAAATATTTTTAATTATACTTTTACCTTATATATCTTTATATCCTTATTAAGGCTTGTAAGTTAAGAATAAAATTATTAAATAAAGTTAAAAAGGCATATTTTATAGGATTTAAAGCTAAAGGCAAGGCCGTTTTTTATTTATTTATGCTACTTTAAAAAGTTATTATAATTATAACATTAAGCTATATTATTTAATTTAATTTAGTAATAAAAATTATATAAATAATTAGCTAATTAAATAAAAATATATTATTTAAAATAAAGGTATTATTAGCATTTTAGTTAATAAAACCTATTAATAATGCAAAACCCATAAATAAACTTATAAATAAACTACTTAAACCTACGAAACTTATTAATAAACCACTTAAACCTGCAAAACCTAT